TAGGTTTTGTATACACACATGCTCACACATACATAGCACATGTTTTTGTGAGAAGAAGCTGACTTCATCAGGTGCTGTAATTTGAAAACAGTCCTCAAATACCTTTTGGAAATAAGAGCAATGGCCTCAAACCACAGCACAGAACATTTAGGTTGAAGATTAGGAAGAACTTTCTCAGAGGGTGGTCAAGCATTGAAACAGGCTACCTGGAGAAGTTGTGGAGTCTCTGTCCCTGGAAATTTTCAAAAGTAGGTGGGACAGACTTGAATGGAATGGTTTACTCAGGAATGTCCCTGTCTTGAGCAGCGAGATGGAACTCATGAGGACTTTTTCCAGCCCTACTTTCCAATGATCCTATAAATCTGTGGAAAATGAAAATGGGGAAAATAATGTCAGTGATAGGAAAGGGCAAACAAGGCTTCCAGATCCCTACCCTCCAGGAAGTTCCCACTGTTGACAAAAATAGGGAAAACCACTTAGCAGCTTCTCTGAAACTGCTTCCCAATTCCCATAGCTGGAGAAACAGTTCATGACAGCAATGCATGGGGTGTCATAATGGCAGTAGATAGCTGACAGCCACTAGAAGTGAGATAGTTGACAAGTCTATACCATGTTGGGAAGTACTGGGGGACACTGCAGTTAAACCATACGCTGTCCATTTTGTCTTGCTCTGTGCATGCTGAAGGCCTTAATATGTCATGTTACCAGTACTCGAGGGGTACTGGGTATACCAAGTGCTAGTCTTATGGACACACTCAGAAATCAGGGAACTGTTGGGCAATGGGCTTATACCCAAAAGTGACAACATAACATTTTTTCACATGCACAGAGCAGGAGTGAGTGGTAGTGTTTCACTATGGCACTCCCTACCACTCTCTGATGCAGTATTTTTCATTTCTTTCAGTAATTTTTCTGATGGAAATTGTATCTGTGACTACATGGAGAGAATAAAATGTCTGAGAATATCTCATCCATTCCAGGCTCCCCAAAAATTTCATCTGGGAGAAAATCAACATCAGTAACTTAGATTTATTTTTAATAAATCAGGAACATACCTTCTCACCTTCAGGTGAATTTAAAAAATGGGATGAACTCAGGGATTTCTTTGTTAGCCTGCCTGGAGCCTAATCCCACTTGGTTCTTATCTAGGTCATTTTCAGGACTTCCACTTGTGTGATAATAGCGTCAATTATATCCTGGGATTTTGAAGGCAAGCCTGAAGAATCATGCAGATTTTAGACAGGATGTGAGACACTTCTCCACCACGGCAATGCTGCTGCATCTGAGGAGGCACCATCCCCTTGCCCTTCTTCCTGCTCAGCCTGGCACCAGTGTGTGTGTGCCAAAAGGGAAGTCCCCCGCTCACTCCAAAGCCCCCTTCTCCCCAAAGCAGAGGCAGGCCACCCTGGACCAGTGGGGGAAAGGTGGACAGAAAGGGAGGCACATTCCCAAGGCAAGCGAGCTCACCTAGAGCATTGGGGAGATACTTGCTCTGGATAGCCAGCCCTTCTCCCTAGTTGAGCGGCCAGGGTTCAGGCAGTTCATAGCACTTCTGGCCCCATTTTACAAAGTGCCTGGATGCACCACCTTTAGCTGGATGGTGGTGCCCTCCCTGTA